GAACACAGGGAGCTGCCTTGTACCAAAACACACCTTCTTCTCCTTCTCCTTTGGCGATCACTCCTAGCCGAGTAAGATTGTCTTCCATAAACACGGTTTTAACAATGAGTCTGTAAGTGACTGTGGAGGCCAGTTCTGGATCCACACATCCTTCCACAGTGGGGACATTGGTTCCCAGGCGGGAGTTGATCACGGTGTGGATTTGCCAAGTGTGCCTTCCTCTTAGCACGTTTCTCCCTTGCGTCCTGAGTTCGAGTGTCTTCAAAGCCCATGACACCTTTGGTAAAGGCTGTTCTCCAACTGTAGTGCTCATAGGCCAGTGTTTCCCAGTTGTCAGTGTTTATACTACATTTTTTTAGATTTGCCTTGAGACAGTCTTTAAACCTCTTTTGTTGACCACCAGCATTACACTTTCCATTTTTAAGTTCGGAATAGAGTAGTTGCTTTGGAAGACAATCATCAGGCATCCGCACAACATGACCAGTCCAACGAAGTTGATGTTGAAGAACCATTGCTTCAACACTGGTGATCTTTGCTTCGTCCAGTACACTGATATTAGTTTGCTTGTCTTCCCAAGTGATGTGTAAAATTTTACACTTCACACCATCTAGCTCAATACTGTCTACACTGTCTGGCAGCTGCTCTCCAAAGTCTCTGACACAGCATCTACTTTGTATGCAGAAAGCCCAGGCTCAATCCCCAGCATCTCTAGGTAGGGCAGGGAACGCCATGCCTGAAAACCTAGAAAGATGTTGCCAGTCAGTGACAATACCAGACTAGATGGACCTTGGTATAAGTCAGCTTCCGAGGTCCCTGTGTTCCTTCAGAAATGCATTTTCTATCTCCACAGAAGCTGTTGGCCTCCATAATCTAAAGGTCCACATTAGGAATGTATCAAGGAAAACCAATGGAGACCCCACCATCATAGTGAAATCCAGCCTCATATCCCACTTTAAAAACATCCTGTTTATGCAGGCGTTTGATAGCTGAAAAATACTGTTCTGGGCAACCTTGAAATTATTGATTGTTAGGGTTTGTGATTGTTTTAACATTCTGATGTTAGCCACCCTGAGCTCCTTTGGGAGGAAAGGTGAAATAGATTTTTTTTAAAAATCATTGTAGTCGTGCTTACTGTGAGGCTATGAGATGCCTGCCTGCGACAGTGGAAATATTTTTGACTTTTCACAGTCCCTTCCCATTTGCCCACCCATCCATACACTTTGGTCTCCGCAGTCCCAGAGGGAAAGCATGGGTGCAGATGAACTTCGCCATTAACATTCCCTAATGACTTTTGCAGAAACCAAAAGACGTCAACAAACGACACTCATGCTGCCTTCTTTTTTCCACTGGAAGACAGAGTTGTAAGAGAGAGTGATGGTTTTTGTTTCTGAAACTGCAGCAAATGTCAAATGTTTAATGCAAAGGGATAGTGAACGCATCTTTCAAGGCAGATTACTAAGATCACAGCTTTAGCAAAGCAGGGACTGTGGGCAATTAACCCTTGCTTCACCACAAGCAAGGAACCCATGCAGAGGGGGCTACAGAATAAGCTTGACGGGAACTTAGGTCTGAATGCAGCTGGCGTGATCACCTGTTGACATCCCTTGGCAACAACCGAACTGATGAAATGCAGCAGCTTACTCCCAGCTTTATAGCTGACAGTGGCAAAGGATTGGTTGCCTAGAGTCACCTGATTCTGAGAACCAGGGGGATTCTGGGCTATGGTGCAAACATCCAGGCCTGAACTGCTTGCAGTTACTTCCTACAATCAGTAGGCTGTGCTGCAGGGAAAAGGCATCAACCCACAGCACTCCTGGTCTGATCCTAGCAGCACATGGCTAATCCAAACTGTTGACCGCAATGTATCACTTCTGATGTAGTTCTGCCTGTCCTTATACATGGCGAGTCTATGTTATGCAAGACTACATTATGATGAGAAAGCCGGCTGTTTGACTGCAAACCTATGCCCACATGCTCGAGAGTAATCCAAGTCAAGCTTTACATCTGAGTAAAGGTGGCAGGGGCCTGGGCTGTTCTATTTTAGTATCTTAACCACACTCTTCCATTCAGAGATAAAATTTAAAAATCCTTCTTTTTTGAGAAAGTTTTGATTATTTCCTAATGGTGAACTCTTTTTAGCTTCAGTCTGGTTTTTTAGTTTGTGTTTGATGTGGATCCTGAGCTCTCCCATTCATAGAGCACCCAAGGAGCCTTCAAAAAGAAAACACAATGGGTTGAATTGAATTTTGCACCAGTAGACAACTTTTCTTAGAGGGAGGAGGGAAGGCGATATTTGCCAATTCCTCATTTGAAAATCTGCTCCAGTAGGTTTTGGAACTATGCAGAATAGCATGGCATGGACTATGGGACAGGAGTTGGAAGGGGAAATTTGGGGGGGGCAGGTTGTCTCCCCTCCTTTTCCATTAACTGCGGCATCTACTGAATCAAAAGTGCTTCCACAAATGGAACAGCGCAACTGAATTCAATCCAAAGCAATTAAAAACATTCATAGCCGTCCAATATAAATTTTAAATAATACAGTCTAAAAGCAGTAATAATTTTTAAAAAAACAACCTGAAAGCAGCCAAGGAGATGGCACATTAAAAGCCTGTTGAAATAAACATGTCCTCAATTTCCAAGAGATAGCAAAGCCAGTGTGTTCCAGAGCTATGGGCGAGGCAGCCCTGATATATTTTGCTGCCCGAGGTGAGGACAAGATGGAGCCACCTCCCATTCCCACGTACAGAAGCAATTGAATCTGACGTCAACACAGTTCACAGGGCAACATTCCCCATCACACTTAAGACAGCAGACCAGATTAAGAAGGTGAAGAGAGACAATTAGGGGGCCCCAAAGAGACTATGGGCAACAGAGGGAAATAGCAGAGGACTCTGAAAGAAACAGCCTGCGGCAGTGGTGGTTGCCCTCCAGCATTTGTTACCCAAGGCAGGTGTTTCACTCTGTCTAATGGTAGGGCCAGCCCTGGCTATTGGGTTTTCAAGGCAAACTTTCATGCCTAGGCAGGTCTATACAAGACAGGAGAGATGCACCCCTAGCCTGGTGGACAAAATGCCTCCAGGACTCTCCTTGACTGGAATGTGTCCTTGGACTGTGTTTCTCTGCTGCTGCTGCTGTTTCTATGATGTATTATTATTATTATTATTATTATTATTATTATTATTTACTATTATTTACTATTATTTACTATTATTATTATTATTATTATTATTATTTACTGTTTTGTACTTCCATGTATGCAATCATGTCTCATTATCCCTCTGTACTCCCACTGGGGATACAGTACAGTACAGAAGAAGAGAACAAATAAAGACCAACACTTCAAATTGAACCTGGAAATAAAGAAGTAATTTTTTAGCAAAAAAAGAGAGAGAAATGCTATGTCATATGGTGTAGTTTATGGCGTTTTACCTTCAGTTTAGGCCTTTGGGCTACAGTTGATATGGATTCAGAGCTGCAATTATTTTGCAGTCTTTCTGTCCATGATTCAAACTTTTAAAAGGTTGTTGTTTTGTTGTTGTTGTTGTTGTTTGCAACTGGGCAGCGCTTAAAGTTACTGCAGCCTAAAGACTGCTCTGGAAATGTCAATGCTACTGGGAACAAGAAAGTACTCATGTGTTTAAACTCTTCTATGCTATGAAATGTATACATTTTATATATGCCAGGCCCATTTCCACCCCCCTCTCTCTGTGCCAGAAGCAGGTTCACACCTCTCACGGACAAATAAAGTCCTTTGTGCTGAGACTGCATCCATTGGGAGAAATGCAACCAACTCCCAAACAATGTTAACGGTCAATCTAATTCAACAGCAACCAAGCCATAAATTGTGCTTTTGTCCCATTTTCACTGAGAACAGGATACTGCACCCTTGGCTCAAGAGATTAATGTTCCGAAATACACAATACTCAGGGTTGACTGCCAGGGGGGTGGGGTGTGTGTGTGTTTGTACAGCTTTCAAGAAGCTTTTCAAACTGTGCTTCACAGAAACCCCGGAATTCCCTGGAATTGGTAAAAAAAATGGCAGATTTCCTCAAAAATAAAATACAACACAGAAAAGCAATTTACATCCAGGGGTGAGGAAGATGTAAAACGCCAACAACACAAAATACATAAAATGCTCAGCTAGCTGCATATTAACAAGAACTAAGAACCACAATAGGAGGCAACATTAATTAACCGAAGGCCTGGGCAGTGGCGGAGCTTCATGCTCCGGCACCAGGGGGCAGAGAGCAGGCGAGGGTGGGGGACGCGTCCTGGGGGCAGGGCGCCCAGTGCGGGGGGGGCAGCCGCAATGGCACCCTGAGGATCGCGTTGCCAGGGGCGGGGCGCTCCCCCCACACTCCTCTTCCTCCCCCAGTGGGCCTGGGTAAAGTCTTAGCTTGGTGCCTAAAAAAGCCAACAAAGATGGTACCATATATGTCTCCCTGGCAATAATTCCACAGACAGGGGCCACCCCTGAAAAGGCCCATACTCTTTTGGCTATCCCTCTGCACCTCCCTTGGGCAGGGCACATAGATAAGATTATCTTATGAGGACTGCAGAGTCTAGGCTGGTTATATAGGGAGAGACAGCCCTAGCAAGAACAAATAAAAAGGCATTCTCCCTCCCCTTTCTAAATTACCGTAGGTTTCCGAGGTGAGGAGTGGATGTAAAATTGTCTAACTGTATAAAAATCATATTGTAAACCACTCCATAATTTAATAAATCAAATAAATCACAAATTTTAAAATGCATGATGGATTTCAAATAAGGAGTGGATTTAAAAATTAAAATTAAAACAGTGTGCAACAGCACTGTGAACTCAGTTCTGGTACTGAAAACAAATTCCTGGGCTGAGCATGTGCTGAGTGAGAATCTGGTCCTTAATTTCTAAGAGGATGTTCTGGGAGGGGCTATATGTCGCTTAGTGATACAGCATCTGCTTTGTACTGACCGACAAAGGCTCTCCAGGGTTTCAGGTAACAGCCTCTCCTAGCCCTACCTGGAGATGCCGGGGACTGAACCTGGAACTCTTTTGCATAGCAAGCAGATGCTCTACCACTGAGCTACAGCCCTTCTGTCACAGTACATACACATGCAGAAGATCCCTGGTTCAATCCCAGTAATCACCACGCAATAAAATCTCAGGTAACAGTGCTGGGGGAGGACCTCTGCTTAGAAAGATGCTGCCAGTCAGAACAGGCAACACTCAGCAAGTCTCTAACTGTCCAAATGACAACATGGCTATTTCTTTCTGTAAAAGTGGTGCATGAGAGTAGGGGAAGGGGAGGACAAGGTAAAGAGTGATTGAAGGAATGAGAAACTTTCTAAATATCATGTGAATTGCAGAAATTGAATGTGCATAAAAAAAAAAAGAATACCCTCTTTCAGGCTGTAACCTTTAATCTCATATTCCAGGAATTTGCTTCCTTTCTAGTAAATGTCACTATTTAAAATTAAAGAGGAAGTGTAGAGAATACAGCTTGTGTCTACATCATTTCCTGTAAGCTATGATTTGCTTTACCAAAAACCTTCGTTTGTGCTAACACATGCGTCCTCTTGCTTTAACCACACAATGAGCAAACCTTAAGAAGAAGAATATTTTGTATTTTTATCATCATCACCATCATTGTCAGGCTGTATATAATAAACACCCAGAGCACAGATTCTAAAAAAGTTTCTTTCAGGAAATGATATTTGAAAATAGTAAGTTCGGTCATTTTATTTCCAGATCTCAAAAGTGCAAGTACTTCCAGGGATTGTTGATTCTCACAAATTAAGTATAGTAGTTCAATATAATGGTTAAGAATTTGATATTGGACAATAATCAGGGTTAGAAGCTTGGCTTGGGTCTGAGCCTCCCACCCCTCCTCAGCCTAACCTACCTCAGGTGGTTGTTCTGAGGGAAAAGCAACATAGGAACCATGTCCTGGGCTCCTTGGCATAAGGGTGGGATATAAATGTGAGTATTGAATGAGTATGTTTGCGCAACACATGTTTTTATGCCTGTCATCCTAGCTTCAATCCTGGCCACCACCGGGTGGTTTGGCTCTTTCGTTTCTTTCTTTCACTGGAGATTGGCTCTTTCGTTTGCAATCACATGAGAGTCTGAGAGGTAGTGACTGGTCCCAAGGCCATCTAGCGAACTTCAGAGCCGAGAGAGGAATCAAACCCTGGTTGCCCAGGTCCTAGTCTGACGCTCTAACCATTGCACCACTACTGAGTGTGGAGGTATAATTATACCCCTCACAGGGGTTTAATTTCCAGAGCTCCCTGGGAAGGGGAACCAATTATTAAGTCACTCTGAGAACTGTAACTCTGTGAGGGGAATAGGTGCCTCCTAACAACTCTCAGCACAAACTACAGTTCCCAGAATTCTTGCACGGGTGGGGTGGACCATGGCTGTTTAAAGTGCTTTGAATTTATAGTGCAGATGCAGCTATAGTCTCCAAGGTAGGCAGAGGAAAACAGGCAGAAGGAACCTGAATATGGCAAATGTTCATATGAAGCGAGTGTTTTGTTCCAACTTTCCCATGTTCTAATCAGCAGAACTACCATGACAAAGCTTAAGTAAACATTTGCTCCCCTCTGAAGCCAGACTTTACTCCTTTCTTGTTTGCATAAAAGCTTGAATGGATTCCATACCCAGTGACAAAGAGACCTCAAGGAAAACAGAGCTGGGGTCGAGTGTGTGCACATGGATGATTAACCAACAGTTTGTCAAAGGGTGCCAGAGCCAAGCCAAGGGCACGGCTGCAAAGAAGCAAACTGTGGACAGATCCCTTTAAAAGCCCATCCTGTTTAGGGCCATCACCCTCCCCACTTGCGAATCACAGGAACTGGCATATGGAGACATAATGCCTCCAGCAGAGGCCAGTAGCCACTGACAGCTCTGCTTTTAAACAAATCTGTTGCAGGGATTTTTAAGAAACTGTGTGGGCTCACACTGTATAGGGTGCTCACCATTCCTGCTCCCAACGTAAACATTTTGAATGTACATTCTTACATACTCACACAAGTAGTCCAGCATCCTGTTCTCACAGTGACTAACAAGATGCCTATTCTCATACGTAACTAGCACGTAACTAGGACGTTAGTGCAGAGGCCCTCTCCTCACTTGTGCTTCCCAGCATCTGGTGTCCAGGAACATATACAGTGGTACCTTGGTTTACGAACTTTATCTGTTCCGGAAGTCTGTTCTTAAACCAAAGTGTTCTTAAACCAAAGCGTGCTTTCCCATAGCAGTGGGGGACACAATTTACAAATGGAACACATTCAACAGGAAGCAAAACATGTTCTTATTCCAAGGCAAAGTTCACAAACCAAAACACCTACTTCTGGGTTTGCAGCGTTCTTAATCCAAGTTGTTCATAAACTAAGCTGTTCTTAAACCAAGGTACCACTGTACTGCCTTTGGCCGTGGAGGCAGAGCGTAGCTGTCACAGCTAGTAGTCACTGATCCTCCATGAATTTGTCTACATATCTTCTAAAGCCAACCAAGTTAGGGGCCATTATTACATCTTGTGGGAGTGAGTTCCAGAGTTCGATCCTTCTGTAGTCAGCAGGATGGCAACGAGGAGAACTCAGAAAAGTCATGGGGTGGGAACAAGGAGGATTTGAAGCAAAGTAACGCAAGAGGCAGTCAGGATAAAGAATAAGAAGCAGAGATGCTCCAAATGAATATATTCACCCACTGGTAAGAGTCTCTTTCTGCTTCCTTTTGCGGGGTAGTGGGAGGTGAAGCCAAGAGAAAACATGAAAGTTTATGTGGCCTCAGATGAACCTGCCTCCTAAAGTAGGAAGGGGCTGGGGAGTTTATGTGGGATGGCTGTAGCTCAGTTATAGAGCATTTGCTGAGTGCAGAGAGAAGGAACGCCATGGCGCATCTGTAGCAACAAAGCCGGACGCCTTCCTCTGTCCCACCTGCAATAAAACATGTCTCTCCCATATTGGTCTCTGCATCCACAGCAGGCACTGTAACTCTCCAACGGTTTAACTTCGCCCCCAAAGCTGCACTCTTCCATTGTCTCCCAAGACAGATGGATGCTAACAGCAGGGCAGGGGGTGGGGTGGTTCAGCAAGTTGCACTAGAACCCGAATCCACTTTAACTGCACAACCTGAATTCACTGGTATGCACTTGAGTGCCATCCACAAACAGCAAAAGTCTGGAAGCGCCCAAAATTAAATGTTCACTCTAAACCTTGCTATTATTTCCTGTACCACATCAACAACATTCAGTGTGAGACACTGTGAGCAAAGAGAGCTAAATTGGGATCTAGATCTCAGACTCTTTTGGTTCAACTCCCACCTACAACTTTTAAGATTTTCAGCAATTGACAGCTCAGTAATTAGCACCATGGGTTTTAAAAAGAATTTTTGAGTTAATTTAGTTCTGCGCCTCCCCCCCAATACCATTCCTTTTGGGAAAATGTGAAATACAGTGGTACCTCGGGTTACATACGCTTCAGGTTACATATGCTTCAGGTTACAGACTCCGCTAACCCAGAAATATTACCTCAGGTTAAAAACTTTGTTTCAGGATGAGAACAGAAATCGTGCAGTGGTGGCGCAGCGGCAGCAGCAGGAGGCCCCATTAGCTAAAGTGGTGCTTCAGGTTAAGAACAGTTTCAGGTTAAGAACAGACCTCCAGAACGAATTAAGTTCTTAACCCGAGGTACCACTGTATGTGTTGTGTTTATGTGACTGTACAATACTGAACATAGCAAACCATGTTCAGTTCAGAAAAAAAGTGTCACAAATAATTTGTGGGCTGTGCTGAAGGCATTAAGCATGGGAAACAAGAAGACAGACATGGGAATTAATATATTTCAGCTGCAGTTCTAAAACACAATTACACAGGAGTAACATGGAAACACGCATAAGTTTGCAAAGTTAAACACATATTCCATGTCTGCATTCAATTCCTGGCACCTCCTGTTAGCACAGCTTCAAAGAGAGTTGCTCCTAGCCAGATAAGCTAGGAATATCAGTTATCAGATTCAGTATGAAAACCACTGTTAAAAACACCAGCACATTTTGTGCTAAAAAGCTTCTCTTAGAAAAAAGGGGAAAGAAATCACAGCTTGTCCTAGAAAGCTTTCTGTGGCTGCAGTATAACATAATGAAAATGAGTATATCCATTTTAACAGGGCCAATAACTCCTATTGCTGTTTCACACAATAGATTGGAAGACCAGTTTTTAAACTACAGTGGTACCTCTGGTTATGAATTTAATTCGTTCCGGAGGTCTGTTCTTAACCTGAAACCGTTCTTAACCTGAGGTACCACTTTAGTGAATGGGGCCTCCCGCTGCCGCTGGCCGCCAGCGCACAATTTCTGTTCTCATCCTGAAGCAAAGTTCTTAACCCAAGGTACTACTTCCAGGTTAGCGGAGTCTGTAACCCGAAGTGTCTGTAACCCGAGATACCACTGTACTCCACTTGGGGGTCGGCATTTTTTAAAAAAAACTTTAAAATAATAGTTGCAATGCAAGTGTAGAATTGCTTTTGTGAATCCACATCATCAGAGAGATAAAGAGATGATTTTTTTAATTAAAAAAAGATACAATTAATTTCACATTCTGTATGCATGAGGGAAGGAAACAGAAAAGTAGTAATAAGAGTTCCTCATGATCTATCACAGAACTCCCATCAAGTTATATACTTGCACACCATCTTGTTCTTAGTTATTCAAATGTATAACAAACAATGATAACTTTTAATAAAGATTTTACTCCCTTGCCATCCTTCTCTATTATTATGACAACTTCGGCATGGGTAATAGTACGCCTCAAGCCTGTGGGAAGTTATTCTCTACAACGACCCTGTTAGATAGGTTAAGAAACTGTGATTGTCCCAAGGTCACGCAGTGAGCTTCATGAGTGAGTGGGGATTTGAACCCTGATTGCCCGGGTCCTAGTCCAACACACTAACCACACTGGTTTCCTAGAGTACTTCTGCTATAGGGGCAGCTCTATAAATTAGGTAGGTAAATAAATATGGGGAAAGCAAAATGTCATTTAGGGAAGGATCTGAAATATTTTCCTTGAAACTTTTATTTGTTTTATTCTGGA